GCCTAGAATCCCCCAGTGAGGGGCTGGGGTGTGGCTCAGTGGTAGAGCACCTGCCTAGAATCCCCAGTGAGGGGCTGGGGTGTGGGCCAGTGGTAGAGCACCTGCCTAGAATCCCCCTGTGAGGGCTTTCAGAAGTCATTAGAACATTTAGCTAGAATCTGCCAGTAGGCGACTGGGTATATAACTCAGTATAGCATGATAGGGTATGCCTATCGTGTGCAAGGCCCTGGGTTCAATTCCCAGTACAGAACAAGAAAGCCTTTTCCCATCTTTCCAGTTTAGATACCTAGACACTAAGAAGGCTTGAGCCCTCCAGCAGCCTATGTCCAAGCAGCTTCAGAGGGCTGCAGGTAGGGACAGACCCACATTGTCTCTTAGATTTGTGAGGTTCCCTGGCCCAGCTCAGAACAATAGCTTTGTGTGAGAGCTCAAGGGACCACACGTTTGGAAGGGTGGTGGGGTGGACATTGGGTCCCCAGACATCAGACTCTCGGGCACTGAGGCAGTTTCTGCAGAGGGAAGGTCAAGTCTTCAGTCCACATTCACGTTCCCAGAACGAGTGCCACCTTGTCTCTCGGCCATCTGAGAGAACACAGGTGTGACCCTGGGTGGTCTCAGCTTGGCTGCTCCACAGCCCACACAGTTCTGGGGAGGAAAGGGCTCACTGGGTTTGGTTTGTTCATCCATGACAATTGGACTCTCTGAGAGTCCTGAACTTTCTCACAGCGTCAGGTACCATCATGAGCCCACAGAGAACCACAGACACAGTCAAATTGAGTCAGAAGGAGAAACCAGCGATTTGTGCTCACCTTATCAGTCCCAGGTTCACAGGTGTGAGGGAGCAAAGGGGCCTGTGCTGTTTATAGTCAGTTTGTATGTTTGCAGGGCCCCAAGAACAAGGCCTGTAGGTTACATGGGGTCACCCAGACTGGTCCCTCTAGCTGAAGTCTCACATGCCTTTAAAACGAGGCCTAGAGCCAGCCATGGTGGCACAGGCCTGTCATCTCAGGACTCAGGACCCAGGTAGGAGGATTTCAAGTGTGAGGCCAACCTGGGCTACATGGTAAGACTGTCTCAAAAGAGAATAGCAGAGACTAGGGTGGTGATGGCCCAGTGGGCACAGTGTCTGCCATGCAAGCGTGAACCTGAGTACAGGTCCCCAACGCTCACGTAAAAAGCTGGGCATCATGGCACACATCTGTAACCCCAGCACTAGGAGGGTGGGGTAGCGACAGAGGGATTCCTGGGCTCCACTAGCCTGCTAGTCTAGCCAAATGGGTAACACACTCTATCTTAAAAGTGAGGTGCAGAGTGATTCAGGAAGACACCGACATCAACCTCTGACCTCCACATGCATTCACATACATGTATGCATGTACAATGTGTATGTACGCATGCATGAGACACACACACACAAATAAAAAATTGAGAGAGGCACAATTGGCTCAAAGCTCTCTGATGGAGCAGTGCCTGCTTCTGTGAGGGAAGGCACCATCGTAGACTGATCTAAATGGTAAGATGACGAGGGAGTCTTTCCCAAAATCAGTCATTTTGGAGGTGGGGAGAATGGAGGCTCTGAGCCCAGTGCAGCAGGTAAAGGCACTTGCCACCAAGCCTGATGGCCCGAGTTCAATTCCTGGGACTCACGTGGAAGGCCCTGGGTTCAGTCCTCAGCTCCGAGGGGAAAAAAGGGCAAACATGCAGATATATGTGCATATAATAAGCATGAAAATAATTTCTAAAAGATTTTTCAAAAAGGAACAAGACAAGAAGTTGCAAGCTGAAGGGTGTATTTGTTTTCCATTGCCATGTGACAGAGGACCATAATATAACACTATCTCAGAAGGTAGCGATTGCCCGAGCTTGGCTGGTCTCCTGCTAGGACCACCCATGGCCATAGTCCTTATGTCACAGGGCTTTTTTCTCAGATAAGGTTCCAATAGGCCAGAATTCTCTTCCAAGCTCACTCCAGCTCCTGGCAGAGTGTGTCTATGTGGCCCCCCCATGACTCAGGGCTGGCCTCTTTCTGCTGTAGACTTGAAGCTACCCTGGTCCCCTGTTCCCAGAGGCCACTCATGGGATGTGTTTCTTCCCGCAAAGCTAGAAGCAGGAGTTCTTTTCAGGTCTGTCTCTTTGGCTACCAGAGGACTGCATGCAACTGGGGACAGCTAGGGATGCAGATCCACACAAAATCATAAACTCATTGAAAACATTATGAGATTTGTGTGTGTGTGTTGACTGGAATACAGACCTCCAGAACTCAGTGAAAGCCAGGCAGGCGCAGTGGCTGCCTGTGACCCCAGCACTCAGGAGGGGGAGACAGAGGCTCCCTGGGGCAAGCCGACTGGTGAGAATAGTTCAATCAGTGAGCTCTGGGATCAGCGAGAGACCCTGCCTCATAAACGAAGTGGAGAGCTATTGAGGAAGATACTTGACATCAACCTCTGACCTCCAAATGCATGCATGTCCACCCACACACATGCAGATATGCAGATATGCACACATGCACAATCCACACAAAAGAGTTGGCCATAGTTTGCATTCCAGCTCCAGCTGACAAAGATGGTCTCCTTCATACAACGTTAAGTGATTGTGACAAGTCTGTATAATGTAGTGTAACCACAGTCATCCCTGTATCACACTAGTTAACAAACCAGACACAGGCTCTGCCTGCAGCTATGGCCTGGATATGATTGGGAGCAGTGATTGGGGTAAGGATTCTGTCAATCATTGAGGGCTAATGCCTCAAAGCCTTCGTGCCCTTGGGCCCAGCAGAGTGGGAGCCCAGGCTAGTGCACACTTCCCTAATCCCACTCCTCCTCAGGAGACCATCCACAAATCCCATCCTGACACATCAGACCTCTTCCCCAAAGATTCGCCCTCAGCTCTGGCCAGTGTATACATCCTTCCTGCTGGCCCAGACCTCACGTGCTCTCCTTGTTGAAAGTTCCACCTGACCAGAACAGCTTATCCCTAGGCCCTGACCTTGCACAGTCCCTGAAGCCTACAGGCTGTAGAATCACAGATGACCAGTGCTTGGAGCTCTGTATCAACCATAATGGGAACTCATTGGGGGTGCTTTCCTCTGTGTTCCCACATGAGCAACACCAGACAGCAGCTTAGGAGCCCCACCACAGGGGACTGTCCTGTGTCCAAGGTGACTTGTGACATCGTCCTATTTTAGATCCCCACCCCGACCAAGCCCTGGAGGTCTGCACTACTCCGATGAGGACCTCTGCAACAAGTACAATGGCGCTGTGCTGACCGACAGTGTGAACCTCAAGGAGAAGTCGGTGGACGGGTCAGAATCCGAGGTCAGTGCTGCGCTTGCTTCCACCCAGTAGTGACCGCCCTCTAAATCCTCAGTATATCTCATCGCACTTAGGTCTCACAGCCACCCCACGGGATGGGCAGAGCTGGTGGCGGAGGGTCCCCTGTAGATGGAGGAAGTATAAAAATTGACTGGTTGTATGGCTTTTCCCGGGAGAAGGAAAACAATGTCTGTTCACACAGATGGGGAGGCACCAAGAGACCCAAGAAAGGTTCTGTCTGAGTCAGGCAATGGACTGAGGTATTCCTTCTCTCATGGCTGTGACAAAATACCTCAGACAGCAACTTAAGTAGAGTGGGGATTATCTGACTCACAGTCTAAGGAACAGTCTATCGTGGCGGGAAGGCGTGGCGGCAGGAGCAGGAGCAGGAGGTGGCTGGTCACGTGGCATCCGCAGTCAGGAAGCAGAAAGAGATGGATGCTGGGGCTCAGCTCACTTTCTCCTTTTTATTTAGTCCAGGACCGCAGCCTAGAAAATGGTGTCACCCGCGTTTAGGGTGGGTCTTCCCACCTCAATTAACCCTAATCTGGAAACTCCCTCACAGATAGGAGTGTCTCCTGGGGAATTCTAGGCCATGTCAAGTCGGCATTTGATCTAAACCACCACATGAACCTGAGTTTACTGGGGCTCAGGTGAGCTTCACCCCCAGGGAGCCCCCACCCCCAGTCAACTACTTATCTTCTAAGTAATCTCAGGACACAGGGGGCCTCATGACCGTTGTGAGCGCTCCAGCTCCCTCCATGAGAGGATGTTAATGAACTCACTTATGCACACAGAAGGTGGCTTCAACCATGGAAGCCAGCAGCTGGGAGGGAGGGGCTCCATGTGTTAGCAACCCCCGTCTCTGTGTCTCATGCTGACCAGCATGAAGGGTCCAATCAATGGTTCCACTGGGTGTCCCCAAGGGTCCTCTCCGTAGACTTCATGAAGAGCAAGAACCACAGGCCATTTGCTGCACATGTATTCCTGGCCCACATCTCAGCACACACCTCTAAATCAATATTTAATCTAAAATACACTCTCACCTTCATTCCTGACCTGATTCCGGGCCTTATTGAGCCCCAAGGCTCGATAAAACAGCCCCCTTTCAACTGTGGCTGATATACGAACTCCAGTGGGCAGGGGGTGTGTGCCAGCGAGGTCCAGCTGAGCTGCGCTTTACATGTTCTGTTTACAAAGGTTGCTGGGTCTGTAACATAGCCTCGGGCTTGCGGGAAACAGGAGTAGCAGTGCTAACATCCCGAGAGATGCATGTGTCTCCGCTGGAGGGCTGTCATTGAAGGCCTGTGGGAACCTGCCTGCCTCTTCACGGCTGAGGTTAGCAGTGTCACCTCATGGTCAGTGTCACCTCATGGCAGCTGCTCTTTGAAGAGCAGCAGGTGAGGAGGCAGCAGGGTGTCCTCGCATCAGGCTTCCCGTCTCCACTGATCGGCTGGAGTCTGTCCTTAGATCCACTGTTCCCTGCAGGACTTGGCATGTTGTTGATGGTGACTGTGTGGAGAGTTCCCTGTGCATTGACACGCATCACTCTGTGGTGTTGAGCACGTACTGTGGGCCGCGCCTCATGTCACCCGCTCTCCACATGCTTGGTATTCACCCACCCCTGTGGCTGGGTCATTCTGCTGACATTCTCAATAATCCCCGCACTTGGGAGGTGGAGACAGGAAGACCACAAGTTCAAGGTCATCCTTGGCTGCATAGGAAACTTGTGGCCAGACTGGGTTCCTGAGACCCCATCTCAAAATTAATGAATTGGTTCATTGATTAAACTTTTTTTTTTTTTTTTTTTTTTTTTTT